AGCTGCTTGCAACCCCGTTAAAGCGCGTGACTACCAGGTCCAGCCACCGAACTTCTCGGAACCTGTTCATGAGATGACGAGTGCGCTTAGGAGTACAGCGCCGCATCTCGAGGTTGGTGCTAGCTTAGGCGGTGTTCCGATGAGTGCACAGAGTAGTATGGCGGGGTGGTCGGATGCTGGTAACAACACTCCTCTGGGTCGTTATGGAGAGAGGGACTCGTTGGCTGTTGGCGGTCATGGCGGTGGTGTTGCGATGTCACGGACTGCGAGTGGGAATGGGAGGGGACGTGGTAGGGGACGTGGAGGTGGAGGGGGGAACTGAACGTGTTCCTTGCAGTTTACACAAGAGTAAGAGTGAGTGAATGGAGACATACGCTGATGTAGGCGTCCAGCTCCTTTACATCTTGCCTCAAACTGTAGTAGGTAGCTTGTTCAGGTCTTTCCCTCGAGTAGGATCCCACGATGTATCAGGTTTCGCGTTACGGTCTCGCACTATATACCCACGACTGGCGTTTGGGCTCGCGGTGCACCACGGCTGTACATATGTACTTATATGAGTTGTTTGATCTCCTTTGTTTATGTCTGCAAGTATCTATTAGACTTGGGTGGAGTTCTCTGTTGGTAGTGCTTATATCAAGTATATGTCACGATTTGCCTTCGTAGCTTTACTCTGCCTTGTATGTCACAGTTTCTCATCATGAGCTACGCAGAATAAGAGAGATCTCGAGATGAACTGGAATCCGTGTCACGAACGTACGCTGGCAGAATGGCTACAGTGCGGGCTTGTGGGCATGTACCCTGAAGGTATGCACTAACTGGCGTCCGTATGAGGAGTCCACTACGTTCAAAGAAACAACACCATGCAGTCTACATTGGTGCGAAATCGAAAGTCAGTGACCTCTTGACGCGAATGTAGACTCCTGGGTTATAAATAATTGCCATCTTTTGTGAGTGGACTCTCGATCTTTGCCTTAGACAACGTGAGCCTTGAGAAGGTGCACACCATCAACCCCATAATCAGGTTATCATAAGCATCTCACATCGACACTTCAACATCACAAAGCAAGAAGAAGAAGTTTTGAAGTATTCTCTCAATTCTCTCTACACAGGATATGGAAATCCCACTATTAGAGTACATGCTATACCACCCAACTTTTCCTCCGAATCATTGATCGTTATTCATCCGATGCATTCAGTAAAAAATCCGTGAAAATGGGCTCAATGTTGGCCGTTGAAACGCCGTGAACTACCACCTAAGAAAGAAGAAGTCTATGCTTGAAGATGCACAAGGAGAAAGAAGACGAACAGACTGCATCAAGAAGAAGCGATCCGCTTAGTCGACCTCCTCGACAGTGGGGCCGTCGTCGCCGCCGGCACCACCAGGGGCACCGCCACCGGGCATACCGCCACCGGGCATACCGCCGGGCATGCCACCCTCACCACCGGCTCCGTAGAACTTCATCATGATGGGGTTGGCGACACCCTCGAGCTCCTTCTGCTGAGACTCGTACTCGTCCTTGGTGGCGGTCTGGTTGTCGTCGAGCCACTGGACGGTCTTGTCGATCTCGGCGGTGAGCTTCTGCTTGTCGCCGGCATCGAGCTTCTCGTCGACCTTGGAGTCGCTGAGGGTGTTGCGGAGCGAGTAGGCGTAGGACTCGAGAGCGTTCTTAGCAGAGATACGGGCAGCCTCAGCCTCGTCCTCAGCCTTGTACTTCTCGGCCTCAGCCAACATGCGCTCGATCTCCTCCTTGGACAGACGGCCCTTGTCGTTGGTGATGACAATCTTGTTGGTCTTTCCGGTACCCTTCTCGAGGGCGGAGACGTTGATGATGCCGTTGGCGTCGACGTCGAAGGTGACCTCAATCTGGGGAACACCGCGGGGAGCAGGTGGGATACCGGTGAGCTCGAACTTTCCGAGCAGGTTGTTGTCCTTGGTGCGAGCACGCTCACCCTCGTAGACCTGGATAAGCACACCAGGCTGGTTGTCGGAGAAAGTGGAGAAGACCTCGGACTTCTTGGTGGGGATGGTGGTGTTGCGCTTGATGAGAGCAGTCATGACACCACCAGCAGTCTCGATACCGATGGAGAGCGGCGCGACGTCGAGAAGCAGGATCTCGGAGGTGGACTTGGAAGATGTGTCACCAGACAGGATAGCGGCCTGGACGGCAGCACCGTAGGCGACAGCCTCGTCGGGGTTGATGGACTTGTTGGGCTCCTTGCCGTTGAAGAAGTCGGAGACCATCTTCTGGACCTTGGGGATACGGGTGGATCCACCGACCAAGACGATCTCGTGGACGGAAGACTTGTCGATCTTAGCATCGCGGAGGACACGCTCGACGGGCTCCATGGTGGAGCGGAAGAGGTCCTGGCAGAGCTCTTCGAAACGAGCACGGGTGATGCTGGTGTAGAAGTCGATACCCTCGTAAAGAGAGTCGATCTCGATGGAGGTCTGAGCGGAAGAGGACAGAGTGCGCTTGGCCCGCTCGCAGGCAGTTCGGAGACGGCGGAGAGCACGAGCGTTGGAGGTGAGATCCTACTGAAAGTTAGCAGAAGTTCATGGGAAAATAGGTTTGAGGAATACAATGTGCCTACCTTCTTGTGCTTGCGCTTAAATTCATTTGTGAAGTGGTTCACAAGACGGTTGTCGAAGTCCTCACCACCCAGGTGAGTGTCTCCGGCAGTGGACTTGACCTCGAAAATACCCTCCTCAATGGTCAAGAGGGAGACATCGAAGGTACCACCACCCAAGTCGAAGATGAGGACGTTGCGCTCACCCTCGGTCTTCTTGTCAAGACCGTAGGCGATGGCAGCGGCGGTGGGCTCGTTGATGATACGGAGGACGTTGAGGCCGGCAATGAGACCAGCATCCTTGGTAGCCTGACGTTGCGAGTCGTTGAAGTATGCGGGGACAGTGACGACAGCGTTGTTGACGGTGCCACCGAGGTAGGACTCGGCGGTTTCCCTCATCTTGACCAGGACCATGGATGAGATCTCCTCGGGTGTGAAAGTCTTCTCCTCGCCCTTGAACTCGACCTGGATGACTGGCTTGCCGCCCTTGTCGATGACCTTGAAGGGGAAGTGCTTCATGTCGGCCTGGACCTCAGCGTCGGCGAACTTGCGGCCGATGAGGCGCTTGGCGTCGAAGACGGTGTTGATAGGGTTCATGGCGACTTGGTTCTTTGCGGAGTCACCAATGAGACGCTCGGTGTCGGTGAAGGCAACGAACCTTGGACATGTTAGCAATGGTCGTGACTGTAGGCAAGAAGTGGTGACTTACGAAGGTGTTGTCCGGTTACCCTGGTCGTTGGCGATAATCTCAATGCGGTCATCTCGGAAGATACCTACGCAAGAGTAGGTAGTACCAAGATCGATACCAATCGCGGGTGCCATGATGTCGATATGTGTGTGTAGTGGGGTATCAAAAGGGAAGAAAAGGTCGTGGTATGCTCACAAGTCGGTGACTTATAAAGGTGAGGCTTTCGCGGTGTAGTGTGGTTTGTGTTGTGTAGTGGAAAGAGAAACAGTCCCAAGGCGCGGGCAGACGAAGTTTTTGTATCGCCTGGCAGCGTGGTGTTTCTACAGAATTCCAGCGCCTTCGACGCGCCAAGCAACCAACCAGAACCTTCCCGCAAGCTCGCGCAAGCTCTGCGACCCACTAGAAACAGCTGCCTGGCACGCTTTCCGGGGGCAAATGCCTAATTCTTGTCATCCTGGCTCCACTCGCGGCTGATTGCACGGCCTCGGTATTGCGCTCAACGCCTTCTGCTCGCGGACTGTGAATCTTCGTGCATCTTCTGTCGCCGCCGCAAAGGGCGCTGGCCGCCGCTGTGCTATGACGGAGGCCTCACCCCACCAAAGCCTCAAACGGGTGACATAAGCGAGCTGCCCCGCCATGAGCGGGCCCATATGTCATTCCGCCCATGGCAACGACGGGTAGCTTCAAGTAGCTTCCAGATGTCCAGGATTTTTTCAACCGCCGCGATCGAGTGAAGTCACCGCGGCGGGGTTTGCCTACCAATACGGCCAGCTTTTTGTTTGATCGCACACAACACGTACCAACAGGCTTGTTGTTCTGGCTTGTACCCTGCCACGCATATGCTTTGTTCGCGGCCTAGACGAAGGGAGCTCCAAGGTACTCGCGGCATTCACGTGTTGCCAGGGTACTGGAGACGCGCAATCTCCTCATACAAGGAGTCGCTGATCGGGTCTGCAGCCTACGTCAAGATGAGAGTGTGCAACTTGGATGGCCTGAGGTCAATGTAGCTTCCAGAGTGCCTAGATTTCCCCCTGAATGAGATGCGCCTTGAATATACGGAGCAGGTCGTGGTTCCTGACACTCAAAACATACCATGAATGTGTACACCATGTCTTACATTGATGAATTCGTTCTAAGAAACACTACAGATCACATCAGAGGGTGGTTGATTAGTGATTCAGCAAGATCAAGCATTCTCCTGGTTACAAAACTCTGTTGCTGCTACCTCATCCATGCTGTCTACGGCATTCTGATCTCAGCAGTATCGTGGCTATTGACGCGCAGACTGCGCAATAGTGACGTTTCTATTCCTTGACCTGGGATTGACACTCTCAAACTCAAGGGCGCTGCTTCATGCTGGTGATGCGGTGACAGACTTTGCATTCCTTCGTTGGGTTTACCCATAGGACGCGTTGGTAGCAGCAATGGTACTCTTAATCGATCGCTCGCTATGCCCTACGAGCTGGGAAAAGTGATTCCGCTGCAGAAAACATCGTGTTTTCCCACATTACCTGCTACGGGATCTGAGGCCCAGGAGGTGTTCACTGATCTTGCATAGGCCGGTCGCGCAGTCAAACTACATGCCTGGTGTATACGATATGCTCGAATATTGGTGATCTGGGGACTTGCGCCCAGCGTCGTCGTCAGGGTCTACTCCGTCCAACAGCGCTTTTGTACAATTACATGCTCTGTAGGCCGATATATCACACACCTTATCGTACATCCGTCTTCCCTCACCTTCTTCTCATTGTCCCTCCAGGTCCTCCGCCGCCCTACTAAACGCGTTCTTAACCTCCTCCCCAGGCCCCCTCTTCCTCCAAACGTTCTCACTATTCGGCCCACTCTTCAGCTTCTCCTCCTTCTCGCGATACCGATCCTGAATCATCCTCTCTTTGACATCCTGTCCGCTATAGCTGTTCTTGGTGCGCATGCAGAACCAGAAGTCGTTCCAGTGGTCGGAGCAACTGCGTAGTTGGCCGTAGCGGTATAGATCGTTGAAGTGGCCGCCTAGTGAGGAGCAGTAGAAGGCGCTGTCGAAAGCGGCACGGCACGACATTGAGCGTGGGAGGGTGGGATCGTATTCTTCAGGAGTCTCGGCATTGTTGGATTGGGTTTGAGGATTTGAAGGGGAGGATGAGGGCGTGTTTGTGGAGAAGGATGGCGGTGCGAGGTGTGGGTGGGCGGCGTAGAAGTCGGGGTCGTGGGGTGCGGAGTCGGGTTGTTGGTGTGGAGGTGTATCTATTGTTGACGTAGGCGCATCGCTGGGCTTCTGCACTGGTGATGCTGTAGTCGATATGGTTTGTGGTTGTTGCTTGGCAGAGGCATCTGCGCCTGAGCTTGAGAAGGGCCACCAGGTCATTGTGAGGTATGCGCGTGTCTACAGGAACCGGCGTGGTAGGTACGCGGGAGACGCGCTATTCGGCAGACTCGCGATAGGAGCTGTAGCAGTCGATGGTATGGGTTGTCGCGCGTCGAAATCCCGGCAAACGTCTAATCGATATGTTGCGACGAGCGGTAATGCAATTGGTCGAGGCTAGTATGTTGTAGCTCCAATGTTCAGACGTCTAGGCTCTGGGTGCAATCCGCGGGGCTTGAAACTTGGGCAGAAATTCAAGAAATCCCCAAGGGAAATTGGCACTTCCGGCGAATCAGACATGAGACGGCCCGCACACGTGAGCGGGAAGCCTATACGCTACGTCATGCATCGCACTTGCAGCTGCCTTGGAGATCCCTCAAACTCCACCTTTACGCGTCTTGTGCGTCGTCTAATTCCTCGGTTGTGCCTACACGACGTGTCGCCTTTGCGTGTGTATTCTATTCTCGACACTCCCTACGGCCTGTTAGCGATCGACGTCTCGGTAATACTCAGCGCAGCACAACACCCAACCTGTGCCGTATCCGCCCCACCTTGTGTTTACCACCTACAACCGCCCCGAACGTGGCATCCACGCATTGACGGCCGTTCCCTATGACTCCACGCAGCCCTACGACATAACGATACCCCTCCGCCTCCGACACACCCTATACCCCGCCTACCTACCTACCTACCCCCTTCGCCCGGCCTGGGTAACGGTCCCCCACCGCCACTATGCTTGAGGGACTCGTGTCAACTCTGCTGAATCGGTTCTTGGGCATGTATGTCCAGAACTTTGATCCAAAGCAATTAAACGTTGGAATATGGTCTGGCGATGTTAAGTTGCGGGACCTCGAGCTCCGTCGCGAAGCCCTAGATCAACTACGCCTACCGCTGAACGTTGTCGAAGGACACCTTGGCTCACTCACACTATCCATACCCTGGTCAAATCTACGAGGGAAGCCGCTAAAGGTCAACATTGAGGATGTTTTCCTGCTGGCAGCGCCCAAGGAGGATGCGGACTACGACGCTGAAGAGGAGGACAAGCGTGCGCACGCCGTCAAGATGGAGAAGCTCGACAGTGCAGAACTGCTGAAGGAGCGTAACACCGAAGGCATGAGCGCGGAAGAGCAGCAGAAGAATCAGAGTTTCACTGCGAGCTTGATCACTGCCATCGTCGACAACGTCCAGATCACAGTCAAGAACATCCACATCCGATACGAAGACTCGATCGCCGACCCCGGACACCCATTCGCCCTTGGTGTCACCCTCGCAGACTTCAGTGCTATCAGCACCGATGAGAACTGGAAGCCAACGTTTATCCAAGGCACATCCACCTCGACGCACAAGCTAGCCACACTGGGCTCGTTAGCAGTATACTGGGATACGGATGCGAAGCTCATTGGAACTGGAAAGGGCAGCCAGAGCAGCGATGAGCAGCAAATCGACCGAGCCGATTTCATTGAGCGTGCAAAGGGCATGATTGCACGAGGCGATAACCCAGACTTGGGGGATCATCAGTTCATTCTCAAGCCCATCAGCGGTCGCGCTGGTATAGAGATGGACAAGACCGGTAAAATGGACGTCGCAAAGATGAAGGCTCGACTCCTCTTCGACGAGCTTGGTTTCATCATCGACGAGGATCAATATCGCGACGCGCTTATGCTGGTCGATCTGTTCCACTACTTCATCCGCCATCAAGAGTACAAAAGGCTGCAGCCCAAGTCATCACCCAAGGAGGATCCTGCTGGCTGGCTTCGCTTTGCCGGTCAGGCTGTGCTCGACAAGATTCACGAGAGGAACCGGCAATGGAGCTGGGATTACTTCAAAGAGCGCCGCGACGACCGCATACGATACATTGAGCTCTTCAAGAAGAAGAAGCGCGAGGAGAAGCTTGATGCCACGGAAGCTGAAGATCTCGATAAGCTCGAGCGAAAGCTTACGTACGAGGACCTCCGCTTCTGGCGCTCGCTGGCCCGCAATCAGCTGCGCAAGGAAAACGTTGGTGTCAAGAAGCCGCCGCCCAAGCAAACCTGGACTTCTTGGGTGTGGGGAAGTAAACAGGAAGAATCCCACGAGGATGAGAACACTCAGATGAGCGAACAACAAAGAAAAGAGCTGTACAACGCTATCGATTGGGACGAGAAGAAGGCCATCACCGAGTCGGTGGACATGCCTCGCGAATACGTCAAGTTGGAGGTCAATATGAGCCTGCGCACAGGCAGCTTCACACTCAAGCGCGATCCCCATGGCAAATCGAACGAGATACTCCGGCTACTCTTTGACTCATTCAGCACGCAATTCCTCCAACGTACAGATTCCATGTTCGTCAAGGTCGCTCTTGAAGGCATGCGCCTCTACGACGGTACCACAGAAGGCAGTCTTTTTCCTCAAATCATCACAGTCAAGGATGCACCGCCCGTGCCGGACGACAAGCGCATCGAAGAGCTCAACGATGATGAATCACCCAAGGACGATGATGATGACGAGGAAGGTGATGAGAAAGAAGACCCGTTCTTCTTCCTCACGTTTGAGAACAACCCACTCGACGGAGCCGCCGATACAAACTTGACCATGAAGTTGAAGGGGATGGAGTTCGTCTACAACCCTAGGTTTGTCGTTGAGGTGGCCAAATTCTTCAAGCCTCCAGAGCGACACATGGAGTCTATTGGCGCGCTCATGGAGACTGCTGGAGCGACGGTCGAGGGTATCCGCCAACAGACACGAGCAGGACTGGAATTCGCCCTCACCGAACACAAGACCATCAACGCGCAGCTTGACCTACAAGCCCCGCTTATCATCGTGCCAGACTCTGTCACGAAGAAGTCAAGTAATTGCCTCATCGTTGATGCCGGTCACGTGAGCGTAACGAGCGAGCTTGTCGACAAGGACACCCTTCGCGACATACAATCGAAGCAGAAGCAGCAATACACCGACGAGGATTTCCGAAAGCTGGAAAAGCTCATGTACGACAAGTTCAACCTAGCGCTCCACTCGACACAAGTGCTTATCGGACCATCCATCGAAGAAACTCGAGCGCAGCTCGAACAAGACTCCAGCTTGAAGAACTACCATATCGTTGACCGGATCAACATGGACTTCAAGATTGAGATATGCATCGTCCCGAAGGCGTCAGATCTGACCAAGTTCCGTGTGTCTGGAAACCTGCCGGTGCTCCACGCATCGGTATCGGACTCCAAGTACAAGAACCTGATGAAGCTGATCGATGTTGCTATACCCAAGTTTGACAACGACGGACCCAAGAAGCCAGTGATTGAGGGTGCGAAGGGTCCGTCCAACCTCAAGCCCACAAGCGATGCTAAGGCTGATTCGGATCCACTCGGACGGACGCGCTCAAAGTCATTCGCATTCGCCGCCCAAGAGCATGAGCTCGTGATGGAGGAAGAAGGTCACAACGATACAGACGAGAAGTTTGCAGATGCCCCGGAGAAGCGAGATGAGAAGAAAGAGGCACATCTACATCAGCGCAACTTCGAATTCAAGTTCACTGTGGACAAGCTCAAGGGTTCGCTGTATAGAGCAGATCCGGAGGGCAGAAAATCTGATCAACTGCTGGTTGAGCTCATCGCTGAAAGCTTCGATCTTGACTTCTACCAAGAGGCTTTCGAGATGGCTGCGGATGTTCGTCTCAAGAGCTTGGCTGTGGAGGACCACGTCGAAGAGTCTACCATTCCTGAGTTCAAGAACATCATCTCGTCCGAAGATGTCTCCGCAGATGAACAAAAGGATCTCTTCACGCTCAAGTTCGTCAAGGTCAACAAGGAGTCTCCGGAGTTTCAAACCAAGTACGAGGGCATTGCGACCAACTTGGACGTGGCCGTCTCAACAATCAACCTGATAGTAACCAGGCGGACGTTACTCACGTTACTGGACTTCGTCCTCGATACTTTCACCAATCCAGGCCAGCCGCAAAACCAGCAAGCCCAGATAACGGATAAGGAGACAGAACAAGCCGTTGCTGTCCAAACTCAAGCGGAGCCCGACAAGATACGCATCCGAGCAGAGATGAAGCGCATTGCTGTTGTTTTGAATAACGACGGAATACGGCTAGCTACGCTGAGTTTGAACTCTGGAGATGTTGGCATCTTCCTCAGCGGCAAGACGATGCGCATCGGTGGACGACTCGGAAACCTGTCGCTCATTGATGACATTAACCAAGGTGTCTCTGAGGAATCGTCTCTCCGCCAACTTGTGACTATTGAGGGCAAGAATCTGGCCGACTTCAGTTACGAGACCTTCGATGCGGACGCGGAGAGCTACCCTGGATACGACATGGCGGTCACACTCAAGACGGGCTCTATCAAGATCAACTTCCTCACAGAGCCGTTCCGCAAGATCATGGAGTTTGCTGTCAAGTTCGGTAAGATGCAAGCCATCTTCAATGCGGCTCGTCAGGCCGCTGCGAACCAGGCGACACAGATCCAGCAGCGAGCGACCAAGTTCCACTTCGATATCACCATCAGTACGCCTATTGTGGTGTTCCCACGTATGGTGGTATCCGACAAACCAGATCGCGATACTCTTACTGCAAACCTAGGAGAGATCTACGCGAAGAACAGCTTTGTTCCTCTTGATGATTCCAAGGGTGCCGAGACCGCGAATAAGCTTTCGGCTGGTATCAGGAACATCAAGCTCACATCGAAGCTGCACTACGATGAGGACCGCTCCGAGGAACTACAGCTGATTGACAAGGTCGATCTCGATTTCAACATCACAATGGTTGAGCACAAGGCTGGACAGAAACGGCCGGACCTTGAGATCGACGGTTCGATGTCGGACATTAACCTGATGCTCACACCGGAACAAATGAAGTTCGCACTAGAGCTGTCTCGCTCCATACCCGCAGCGTTTGCCACGGAGTCTGACGCCATAGATCAAGATGTGCAGGCCGAGCTACCTCGCGAGACAACGGAGCCTGCGCGACGACTCACGGACAAGGATAACACAGAAGAAGAGTCCTCCAAGAACGCTGTGTCGTCGCAAGG